GTTGAGAGCGAGTCGAGTGATTTAGTTGAAAACCGAGTTGCTCGGCCCAGTAGCTACCCCCACCACCACGATTTGCCCGCAAAACATCTTTTTACTGCTATTAAGTGAGTCCAGCGACCACAGAATAAAAATATTTTTTTTTAATTTTGTGATCGCTGAGTGAGTTGATCACAACGATCAGTATTAAGGTTAGTTCAGTAGTGTATACCTAATCACCTTCAATACTCAATGGTTCAGTTGAACAGTTGGCCCTGTGTTGCATTGTCTTGCTGTTCGTAAATCTACTCACTCTTATAAAATTCAGTTTTCAAAATTGTTGTGCAACTGAAGATCTACAGTTCTACTAGAACGATTTTATTAATCAATGGGTTGTTAGAAAGCTCACTCCCTAAAAATGTTTTCTATCAGAAATACATTGAAAACAGTGTTTTCACATTTCTTTTATTTGGAGGCATTGCCTTGGCTTATATATTTTATTTTAAAGAAATGCAGTACCGGTATAGTAATTTGTAGTAATCTTATTCTTTTCCACTTTGGTCTATAGCGTAAGTTATTTGCAAAAAAAACTTTTAAGCAACCCCTGAATTTAAGAGGTGATTCAGTTTTAATTCTAATAATCTAATTCAGTGATTTAATTAATTTATAAATTCAGCATTAAACTCTTGAAGTCCCATTTTAAACTCAAACAACATTTAACACAAAAGCTACGGTATACGGAATACTCTACACCACAGAACACAGAGAAATTATAAAAATTACATCTCTGTGCCTACACTGTCGCTGTTCGAAATAGGAATGCGTAGACAGTCTAGTTGAACAAATCAACAACTGGGCCTAGTAACTAGGCCGAATAACTCTTCTGACATACTCGACCCGTGTAAACCAGGCTTAAGATCTTTGTAGAACTCTCCCAGGTTCTTATCTGATGCAATTAATATCCAGGAGTTGAGAGATCCACAAAAATATCCAAATAATGTTAATGTTTTATCTTAGTGTTTTTAAGGTAAATTGAGCAGTCCTATATTAGAACAAAATATCATTGTTGTATTTTTTTGGTTCTTGTAAAAACTCCTAGACTAGGCTAGAGTATTCATGGATAAACTCGCCTAATTCAATCCCTTTTCCAAAGAAATTTCATACTCATAAACCAACATGTCTTAATTTTAAAATCCAACCAAAATTTAATAAAGTCATATTTCTATTTAACAATTTTAGTTGGAGAGAAAAATAGACCCAAAACGACCATTACCAATTATTAGAACAACGGACAATGAAATAACCTATGGCTACAGTGCAAGTGAAGAAGCCCTTGTACCTGAGGGTAAAGTGACTCTGAAGCAAGCTCTTGCCTTCATCAGCAGTCATCAGGACGACCCAAAGAAGTACAGCCAAGCGGCCATTGCCTCTCAGTACAAGATAGCACTTGCAGACTCAAGTAAGTTTACTCAAGTCTTTGTATGAAAAATCGAGGGCACTGGGCTTAATTTTATTTGAAACTGTTTTCCCTAAGCTCTTGGAGATCCAGGGATAAAATTATGAATTTATCATGCACATTTTTGCTATGTTTTTGGTACCCCAATCGTATCCAGACAAATTTTTTAATTTGTTCGCACAAAAGTGGTTAGGGGTTGCAATATGGCAGAGGTAGGTAAAAAGTAGAAAAAAAGAGTTTAGGTGTGATTCACAAAGAAAACTTACATTTAGACAATTTCTATCCGTGCTGCGCCAACACTCCTGGTGGAAGCATTTCCCAAAAATTAGTTAGACTTAATACAGTACACTCTCGATTAACCAAGGTTGTTGGGACTGAAACTACCTCGGTTACCGAGAATCTCCGATAACTTATATTATGTCTCCTAGGTTTTGAGGTTAATAGTACCACATTATGTAGTCCTGTATGATGTTGTATGTTAAAAGTTAAAAATACTTACAAAAAAATAAATGATCAATTAGTATTTTCATGTGAACATTTGTTTAAAAATAAGGTAGGTGTAGAAGAAAACAACAACTAAAACATGCTCAACACTACTTAAATTGACTTAAAGAACTTTAAATACAGTATTATTAAAATTTGACGCTTCTAAAGCGAATGGGCTTAAGTACATATGATAAGCTGATGTAGTTTCGACCCTTTATCTTGCCAGCCACAAATTTTGCTAAGCCAACACACTAATTATTTTTTTTTTTGAGCTGACCTGAGCTGTACTTGACATAATCATGTCAATATCAAAACATCGAATAACAAAGGCTGACAAAAGGTGATGCCGAGCCAGTAATGCCACTGCTATTGTTTACGTTGTGCACAACTTATCGAGCTTGCCAAAGGTTGGCAGCCAAAGTGGTGTCGTCTGATTTTCATTTTCTAGGTTATTGCGGATCATTCATAAATTAAAATAATACTTGCGTAATTATTTCAAAGTACTGTATTCATTTTAAGAAATCACAAATTGCGGTACTTTCCTGTTAAAGGGAACATTCATTATTATCGATGATTTTTGTCTCGATATATCGATATTAACAAATTGAAACATATCAGCTGACAACTACGATAAATATTGTTCAGTATCAACAAACAATAATGAAATGAAACTGTAAAAAAAAATAACCTAATATAACTAACCAAACTTGCTGTGTAACATTCCATGTTTAACTGGCCTTTTCTGTTATCAAAAGGAGTTTTTAAATAGTACAGCAAGTTTGGTTGGTTATGTTAGGTTAGCTTAGAACAGTTTCATTTCTTAATCCATAATAGACTATTTTAGCCTAAACAAGATCAGTTGTAAATATGTAATGGATCGGTAAACAAAAATATCGATATATCGAAACAAAAATCATCGATAATAATGAATGTTCCCTTTAACAGGAAAGTACCCAAATTGCTAAGCTATTTTTATTCGACTTTCAATAGAAACATTCGTAACCAACATAATTAATAAGCTTGACTCCACAAAGGGGAGTATTGATAGCTTTTAGCATTTTATGTGAAGCTCCAATAAAGGCATAAGACAAATATTTCTAGAAGCAATAATATCATTTTCACTTTTCCAATTCATAGCTCATGTATACAGGAAGCCAATGTATATTGTATGATGCTTTTCATTTAAAAACATCACAATAATCTATTTACTCACTTCTCTTATTTTTACAGATGATATCCTAGAGCACTTCAAAATGTTTACAGTAAGAGTGCAGAAGAAAGAGGTTGACCCTGAATCTTTATCAGCTTACGAACGTCTTCAACTTAAAGTAAAAAATATGACTCCTTTAAGCTCCGCTTCTCTATTGAAAGAAATGAAAGCGGTTTATGGTGATCTCAATGAAAAGTCCCCCGTGGTGAGTAAGGACGAAAAAGACATCCAGTCCAAAAATATTGTCCAGATTGAGATGAAAACACCGAAAACAATTGAAGATTTTAAAATAGAAGGTAACACGAAGGCGGAAGAAAAAGAAAATAAGAACGAAGTAGGTAAAAAAAGGTCTTCAAGAAAACATAGTCAAGAAAATGGATGAATTTATTAATGCTTATATAGGTTTAGTTATTTAATGTTGTATAGAAAGCTAAAAGTTGATAACTTATTGTAAATAATATCGTTAATGAATAAATAATGTTATCTGATTAAAATACCCAAGTTAATTTATTCCTTCACACAATAATTTTCAGTTTATTAATAAACATATTTGTAGGTAATTAGCAGAAAGAACTAATAAAAATAGCTCTTTAGTCTCTGCCGTGTACAGTATTTAACAGTATTTAAATATTAGAAAGTTCAGCAGCTCCCTTAAATTTAATTATTAATTTTGTGACTGCCGGGTTTATGCAGATTTATTAGATGCTAATTAATAACTGCTGACTTCACCTTATTACTTTCTCCCTCTAAACTAAAAAAAAGGTTATTGAAGTGATCTTTGTGGATGTGTAACGCTACAGACGACACGTGTGGTCCGATTTTGATGAAATGTAGCAAGTGGTTACTAATTCATGGTATCTCCGGTTTTTCTTAATTTGGATATTTAATGGTATAATTTTTCCATAAAACCCATTAAATAAAGGAAAAATTAGATTAAGGCTTGAACATTTTTGATTAAATTTTAATTTGATTCCCCGGATGCCCACTTGCAATTTTTAATGGTTTGGACCACTTTCCATCAAAGCATTAAGCATAATATTGTAAAAATACTAATGGACAAGCTAATGGGAGAAAGAATCACTTAATAAACTAATAAACAGCTGTTTTTGAACGACATGCTTTTTAGGCGAGGTGTTATTATTGATGTAGATTTTTGTGGGCTTCACTCACCTTTATTTTTGTTCGTGATGTCCGGGACTCGTCAAAACACATAAACACACATATGTACAACACAAAATCGTCCACGGCATCAAGGTCCGACGTTTCGCGGAACTCAAACAACGTTCCGCTTCTTCAGGGTATTAAACTATTTAATCTACATCATTAAAAATCTACATCAATAATAAACAGCTGATTGTTTGCGTTAGCAAAATTTAAAACAAGTTGAAAGTTGTTTTGATAGTTATCTTTACATGAAAAGTGTATTGTTTTGTAGCTAAGTTTGTTAAATAATATTGCAATATGATATAAAATATAAGTAATCATACGGACAAAAGTGTCTTTTCAACCCTACTCATTTTCTGATCTCGGCTTTGCCTTGGTGTAAAGAGTCACTTTACGCCCTAGTGATAAAATATACAATTTTTTAAAAATAATACCGTATGTGATTTCAAAATTTTAGTATCATACTGTTGAAGCCATGAAATTTACCCATTTAACCTATTATTAACATAACCTTCCTGAAAATATTAATCACTACATTTCATGCACGCTACACTACTTAGAACTAGAAAATGAGTAAACTTTACGATTCAATGATATACTGGAATCCTCCAAGATAACTGGTAGGACAAGCTGAAGAACGATAAGTTAAAAGGAATTTTAAAATAACATTAACTCTAGTTAATTTTGTACATTTTTATTTTTGTAGCAAAAACTTTAAGAACAATTGTAAATATAAAAACAGAAGTCCTAGTTCGTAGACAGTAAAAACAACAAAATAAAAACATTTATAACAGTCCTAGTATAATAAAAGCTATTTCTTGAAACCATGAACATGTTTTGCAAGCATATACAATCATACAAGATCCAACGTGAGAGTTAATAAATAGAGTAGATAAATCCTGCTCCAAAATAATTATTGCTGAGCTCATGTGAAAGTTTTAAGTCCCAACGTGCTAGTCATCTTATGTATTCTTTGAATTGGAACAACAAGCTTACAAGTTTTGTTCTAGAAATTTGAAAGCACTGGCTAAGTAGGCCTAATAAAGAACAGAACTAGCACAGCACTGGTAGAAAACGTTTTGACACTTAAATATAAACATTTTGAATTTTAACAGTAAAATATCATTTAAAAATCTTGTAAGAGAGAGGATTTCACTTCTAGTTAAACAATTAAGATGACCCATTTCTCAGAAAATAATACTACAAGAGATAGCTTTACGCGCAAGAATTTGTTTCAGTAAAAAACGTACAAAATTTTATAAAATAAGTAGACACTAAATTATACATCACAGGATTTGACAAAGAATAATAGACTATCAAAGGTAAACTGTATAACCTGCTCCACACACAAAGAGAAATCAAACTTATCGTGTAGATTTACAGTGTATTTACTTGGAGTACAAAAAGGTTTCTATTAAATCTATTCAAATCATATGTCAAAATTTGTGGTTGGTTATATTCAACTATTTTGCCTCTAATTAATATGCTTGAGTACACTCCAAATTAAAAAGAGGAGAATACAATTTCTTATTGTGTTTTTACATTCTTCCAAAATATTTTTTAATAAATGCTTATTGCTTAGTGAACAAGTGAACTAAGTGCTTTAATGAATAGGAAGACAACATTTATTAAATTTGTGTTTGAGAACATTGCTAAAGGTGAACACTACTTCCTTACTGTTAAATACGTTATTAATTACTATATTTATTTATTTTTTCATTTATCATTTCATTTAAAAAGTGTACGGATAAGAGGGAGTCTACTGTAAAGGCTTTTGTTACTTTGGGGGGCTATGATGTTTGCAGACCGTGGGGAGATGTTCAGATTTTTCTTTGACCATGACATCAGCCTTCTTTAATAACGATTCTTTGTTATTTTGTGCACCTCGGATAGTTGGAGTCAGGGTTTTTGGAGTTCTACTGTATTTAATTAATGTCAATTATCACTAATACTTGAAGTTTTATTCTCACAATTACTGAGTTATATTAAGGGAGCCTTAAACTCTGTCTACGTTGGTATAGCAAAAGCCAGCTTCCATTTACCTATCTCTACATTTTTAGACAAATCGGTCTTTTTGGTAAGGTTTTTGATGAAGTAATGATTAAAATACATTGCCTAACTTGTCCTTATTACCTAACCTAACTTTAAAGTTTCATCCTTTGTTAACTGGTTGGTAAACATATCTCCATTGAAATAGGGTTCTTTTATAAATAATATTATATTATAATGTATTTTGAAACTAAGTACCCTGCCTGTACAAATAATCCACCAGGTTAAATAAAAAAATATTAATATAGAGATTTTTAATTAGATTATATTTTGGAACTCAAAACTACGTTTTGGTTTAGAAGGCCCTAAATACAATGCAAAGCATTTGAAATACAACATTAATAATTCAATCAAGCATAGTTTACCTAGTCGACTGAGAAGAATAAGGATGTGTAACATAATTATTTTAATACTGAAGTTTTTCACAATCTTGAGGTAAAATTCTCTCCATGTACTTGGTATCCATACTCACAATAAAATATAATGACTTAACTAAAGCAAATAAATGTTACTAATTTTAAACTAGTAGATTTTTATGCAACACTTTGAGCAAATAAGACACGTTTAGGTGTGCTAGCACCTATCACAGTAAAGAAAACTTTTCAGTCGAACAGCTAAAAAGAAAATGATCTATAATCAAAATGTGTGTCACTTGTTTAAGAATGTCAAACATATCAAACAAAAGATACACCCACTTTAATAGTTGTTTTTACGGTTTCTGAGTTATTTAAATATGAACATGCACAAGGTCATTGTTTGAGGTAGATTCACAATGTGTGGTTTCATTGTGCAATTAATACCACTCGTACTCAACAAAGCATGGTGTATACCATTTGTTTTAGAAAAATTCTTTTTAGCAGTCCAACTCAGATCAACATCAGATGAACAAGAAAAATATTAAAGGCACCGATATCAAAGCTGACTGCAGCTTTAAAGAACACTGTTACACAAAAACTGGCGACTTGTTTAGCGATGGATTCAACAAGGGTCGTCAGTGTAGAGCCAAGATCAAGGACGTAGTTGACTGGCCTCCTTATGTATGACTGCTCCAGGGTCAAGGATGTTGTAGATGACAGCGTGTTTGGCAGCGAGGAGTGTGTTCCTCATCAACATCGCCACCGTCATCGGTCCCACGCCTCCGGGCACGGGCGTGATGTGACCGGCCACCTCGCTCACTCCTGGAACGGAAAAATTAGTTACAGTAATAAATACCTAGTAAGCATGACACATAAATGTCAAGACGCCAATAACGACTACTATAAACCTTCTGAAATTAAATTTTAATCTTGATGTTTTATGTCAAGGTAATTAGGTATGCTGTTTCAGTTAGCAAGGGTTCAATACAATTAAATTTGTTATAACAGCAATGCAAACTTTGGTGCACTATTTAAACTGAATATGAATGGAAGGGTTCAGCTCTTGGTGGTGATTAGAATGAATAACAATTATAAAATAAAAGTAGCTCATCAAAGTAGAATTAGAATAGCAAATATACTTTGTAATTTTTATTGGTATAAATTTATATTGGTGGACAACAACATAGCATTAAAGCAATAAACATATATTACACTCTTTAAGTTTCTCCAATTAACATACGTAAAAACCCTGCTTTAGATTTAGAGCTAGAAAAATTAATTTTATAAAATCTTAAAAAGATCCTACATGAAAACTTGGCTTAAGCTGCCTTTGGAGGATTAAATTTGTACATACAGGTTAATTAGAGGATTACAAGTTATGCTTATGTCAACAGCTTCCTAAAAATTTATCTAATACAACATAGTTTAGGAAAGTATATTCGTTTTAAAAACTCAATCAGAATCAAATTGCACTAGGAGTAAGAACTTCAAATTAAACTGAGAAACCTAAGTATTGGTAATTGTAATTTTACATGTAGTAGAACTATTTATGCTGGATAGTTTTATATCCGGCCAAGAGACTGTAAGTGTTTACTTACATACTGCAAGAAGAGAAAATAAATTAAGCGGAAAGGAGTGTAACATGGCCTAAACAGGCCTTTCCTCCTGTGGGAATGAACATTGAAACAACCCAATGTTCATTCATAATCAAACGGGACCAATTTGAAAACCACGGCCTGAAACCAAATACAGACAACTAAAAATAATCTATTTTTATTGGAAATGGAATTTACATTGTAACTAACAGTACGAGTTCCAAAATAGTACCATAAACAAATAAATTAAACTCTTGAGAAAAATTACAAATTTTATGACAATCACCGAGACGGTTTCGAGAAGTGTATATTTGGAATATGCTGCTTCGGCTTGGGGTTATAAGATACACTTTGGGGAAACTAATGGAATTTTAGAAGTATGATTGACTAATCTTGGACAGTCCTAAAGAGGTATTTTTCTCATCCCTTAAGCAGCATTGTCACGAGGCCAATATGCAGGCAGGTTACAGGGCAGGTTACCTGCCTCTAATGTATTTCAAGGTACCTGAAGCAGGTGACCTGCTCGTCAAATGGCTTTGTGTAAAAACGGTTTTACTTTACCTACTTAAAACAATAAATTATGCAAATCTCATTTAAAACATAAAAATATTCATGGAAAGCCTTTGATAATGTATTCAACGTGAATTTCAACAGTAGCATACTGGTTAAAAAAGTGGACACTAACCTTCAAAGTCTACGTCACCAACGAGACGATTTTTCCCAGTAGCCTTGTCGATGATTCTGGTGATTCCAACGTCAATGACACAAGCTCCCTCTTTCACCATATCGGCCCGTATCAGGTTCGGAACTCCTAGAAATAATCTCATTAGCTATAAAATATGGTTGTAATTTGATGTGACAAAAAGTGTAAAGATTATTTAAGTAGAGTATACAGTAATGTTTTTGGACGATTACTCACTCCACCCTTAACTTTCAAACAATTATATAATCCACTGATGATTTAGATTTCAAATGATTGTACGAAAATGTTTTAGATACCCAACAAACTGGGGGATCTGAGCCTCCCCTTAATTAGATGGTTTGGGGTTGATATATTTGAGTTGTTAATGGTTGTTATCGGTCTTCAGGGTGATATTTCAGAGTGTAAATAGTATATTTCATCACTGGGGCGTAAAGTACTCTTTTCGACCCAAGCTCGGAAAATGAGCCAGGGTTGAAAAGTCACTTTTTGCTCGTGTGATGAACTATATTTTGTGTCATATTGCTCCATTATTTCAACAAATTAATTTACAAAACTAAAATATTTTTCATTTAAAGATAACCCCTCAATGCTACTTAAACTTATTTTCAATTTAATTTGCTAATGCAAACAAGCAGCCGTTAAGTCAGTGATTCAATACTTTCGTCTATTACGATTGTGTACTATCGATAATGTGCTTATTACATTATACTATCGATATGTCAAACTATTTACAAGAAGGCAACAATAAGCTACAAGCGATTAAACAATCAATATACAGTAGAACCTCACTAATTCGTACCTCGATAATTCGAAAACCTCTATAATTAGTAATGTTTGTCTGTTACCCTCAGAAAACCTCTAAAATTCGAAAAATAATACTGATAATTGAAAGTGATTTTTTCAATTATTGCTACCTCTACAATTCGAATTTGTACATACTTGAGCCTCTACAATTCAAATTTTGTTGCCATAATTTGAATTGTTACCTCCAAAATTCGAAGTCAACCTCTACAATTCGAACTAACACCGTAATTCTCTGTAATTCCGAATTCAAATTTAGAACAAAAAATATGCCTGTTGAAACATGAACTGACGCTCTTATTGATAATCCACAATGTGTTCATTAGTCTCCGTTCTCTCAAACTCTCTACACTTAAAACTGAGACCTCCATAATTTGAATTTTATTAATTCTGACCTCTATAATTCAAACTCTCTATATTTCAAACTTTCTATGGTGTTTATAGATGTGTCACCTTACACAAAATTTGCAGGAAAACTATAACATAGAAATTGAATTTGGAATAGGCCTACACAGTTTACACCTAAATGAGACCACATGTACACCTACCTGCGGCTGATACAATGATGTCAGCTGTCTTGGAGAAGACGGCCAGCTGTTCCGGAGGAGTGTACCTGTGGCAGATCGTGGTGGTTGCATCCATAGCGTTTGTCTCACCTGCAGGAACACGTTCAAACTTGTCAGTAAAGACTAACTTTATGCTTTCATTGTTGTAGCAGCAGTAACTAAATGTTCATGTGTAAACAGGGTCGCTAGTTTGCAAATTGTTATTTGAATCCCATGTGGTTTGGTTTTTTGACGTTAGCCTCCGAATTACGTTGAATATCGATGTAAATAGCTGCTACGTAATCCAAATTGTTGCTAATACAGCAAATAGTTTAACCTTTTAAGACAATGTCATGATCACTTCACCAGAATGTTGTCGATTCACATAATACGTATATAGACAAGTGACAAAAAAATAACAACGTTATGGGAATAATGCAACACGCCTGAATGGATGTTGAGTTAGGAAAGTAAATGTACATTTTTATTGTTTCAATGTTCATGTGTCTATGTACTATATGTAGATTGACGACCTTCTGAAGAAGTGATGATGACATTTTTTGACCTGATCATGATCTTAGCGCCTCATTTAAAATGGACTTCAATACAAGTGAAAACTATTTTTTTAGCTAGTACAATTCTTATAAACTATACAATGCTTGGTTAACAAATAAAACTCGATTGTTTGGGTAGTTGCATGTTCATATAGTGTTCGGCTTCAACTCTGAAAGTTGGTGTAATGCAGAGTGGAATCAATTCTGGATCCTATTGTTGTTAGGCTGGTATAATTTAGTTGCCATATAATAATAACAAGACTGGGTCTGGACTGCCCCATAAAAAAATGTGAAAATGCCAGTTTGTGAATTAAAGTAGGGCACAGATATAAAATGAAAAAGATCAAGTAAATACTAGCTAGCATGTTAGCATTTAATATCTGAGAACTTTTAGCTTTTAAGCCACTATTTAAATGTATGCCCATGACAACAAGGATATACCTAGTACAGATATTTTAAACAGGTAATTTGTAATTACCTGCTCCATCCGCATGAAGAAGCATCGCAATAGGCATTCCCACGTTCTTTGAACGACCACAGACGACTGCGTTTTTTCCAAATGTTGAAATACCTGAACAGTTAAATTCATTGTTTTATTCTAAAAATAGTAACCTAGCACGATTGAGATCAATGCTTTTATACAATGCTTTTGTACAGGTTAAATAACACTTTTAACTTCAAACGGGTACTACTGTATTGATTAATTTAACCGTGTATTATTTAATTTATTCCCTATGCCAAAGAACAATGACAAAAACATAGGTGTAACAATTTATGATAGGTGGTCACAAATAAAATTGATCATGAAACTTGTTTTCGACTGACACACATTAAGGATCGGTTACAATTACAAGTAACAAAACGCTATTGTACATCAGACCATTGTTGTCTTGACCTTGAGTGAGACGGAGATTTTAACTCACAAAAAAATGGAAATCATGACTAAAGAGTGTTTTAATCTTTGCCTTTAAAAGAGCCAAAGCCAAAGCAATAAATAATCCCTTCAATTACATTTTCAAAAGTAAAAAAAAGCTGCATGTTAACAATTCTTAAGCAATGAGTTACCTGATCTTTTGATGAGTTCCTGCACTCCTAGGGGTGTGCAAGGGACAAGTGTCCTCATGTCTAAACAGAAACGGCCGACGTTTACAATGTTGAAACCATCTACATCTTTTGATGGTGCCACGGCATTACAGATCGCTCTTTCTGTTATGTGGTCTGGGATTGGAAGCTGAAACAAGGGTGGATAAAAATGAAACTAATACAGTGGAACAAAACCAAGGGACCAAAAAATTCAAACGATCAAAAAATTGTAATTAGCCTAGATAAGATAAGTAGGCCTAAAGAGGTTTGAAATTTGAAAAATCCCACTTTTGATTGCATTTACTACAGTTAAAATACAGGCATTCAAACAATGTAAGGTATTATATCTCTCCTATTTTTTCAGCAGGTCTAGATAGAGTAGGGTAATTCTAGGGACCGAGGGAAGAGTTTTAATTTAAGAAGTTTTTAATTTATTAAAAAAACTTTTAGATGATTTTATCTCTTAAAAAAGTAAAGAATAATTTATAAATAATAGATATTTTCTAGCCCCTGAGCTGATTTTATAACTAAATTGAAATATTACCTTCGTCAACCAGCTCCTGTAGTGTAACAATTGTTACGGCCGTTTCAGCATCACTGTGCCATTATCAGACATACCTTCAGCCAAAAGGCGTGATTAATGACACAGTGATGCTGAAACGGACGTAACATTTGTTACTCTACAGGAGCTGGTTGAGGAAGGTAATAGGTAATATTTCAATTTAGAAAGAATTATGGCTAAACTGATTTTTTAAGTTGATTTGCTGGCTGTGATCAGCTGTTGATTGAAAGCCATACAGTCAAATGGTAATTACTCGCGGCTATGTCTGATGACCAAGTATTGTATACCTGGACTAAAATTCCATCAACTTCTGGATCATTGTTTAAAAGGTGGATGTGCTGTAGAAGATCCTTCTCTGATATGCTCATCAAACAGTGGATTGTTTTGGTTTGGATTCCTGGAAATATCATTATAATGAAAAAGAAATATTTTCTAGATACAGCACTAAAAATACATACCTATGGTATTTCAAGATTAATATGCAATCTTACGGTACTAGTCACATATAAAAGACAAGTTATGAAGGTTGTGAGAGTTCAACACCTCAGTATTTGGACTTTTTGATAACACACCTTGATAACTCAACCCTCACTTACTTAAAAAACTCAATAACTCAAATGTTCACCCTTTCGCCTTTAGTTTTAAGATCTTGAGGTCCTAAGTTATTTTTATCTACCTAATTTTGAATTTCAAAATAATACTTTACAGAATTTTTTTAATTCATAATGACATTAGTTTTTATGTTATGTTACTGAATTGGAATCCTCCAAAAGTGTTTTAAACTACACAACGTTTCTGAAGGTAGATAAACTCCTCCCGTTATCAAGTGAACAAATATTAATGCTACATTAATCTAAATTGGCTCTCAAAAGGTGGCCGGCCACCAAACTTCTTGCTGAAAAACAACTATTTACAACATATAGGCTATACAACAATCAAGTACATAGTGAAACAAAAATTGAAAAATATACAAACACTGAATAGAAAAACTGTTAATACATTGCTATAGCCTAGTTACAACCTTACAGCTTAACACAGATAAAAACAAAACACTGAACTGACGCTACAGTTCGCCACCAAGCTAGCCGGCCGAGAACCAGGTTACAGCTTCACATCACAGAAGCAAGGCCGGTACCGACCTGCCCCTGGCCGTGCAGAGTGAAACTTCCTCCAAGCGCTCGCTAGGAGCACTAGCACCGTTGTAGCGTAATGTGGTGGGTTCTTGCAGGCCTATCTGAAATTTTAGTTGTTGGGGCGGGATTTTTTTTAAATATTCAGTTAGAAAAAGAAGCCATAGGGGCCTAACTTACATGCTTCTTTGAATTCAAAGCAAAAAAAAAACTTTAATCTTATTTTTGGACATGTGTAATATAAACTAACAACCCACCTACTTGTTTAGCAGCCTTCATCTTGTTCTTGACATAAGTTGTGCTTGCAGGGTCTTCTCCAACCAGTAGAGCTGTGAGTTGAGGACGTCGATTACCTGCCGCAACCCACTCCTCTGTCTCCTGTCTGAGCTCGGCCAGTATTGTGTTGGCAATCTGACGTCCATCAATGAGTTTTGCCTTGAATCTTATGGGAACAGACAATGATATAGGTATATTCATTACAACTATTGTTTGAAAAATAAAACTTAAACTAACAAATTGTTGGTATAAGTTACTTTAGTCATAACAGAAAAAGAAAATAACTTAAGTTAATTCTTCATAACTTATATAGGCCATAATCTATATTACTCATGATCTACTCATAATTTAGAGTAAAAGTAGGCTACGATTTCCCCCTTTTTGATTCAGGGTTGCCGTACATGATAGGAGCATAACCTTTGAAGGAGTTCACTTATAAGATATTATTCTTTGGGAATTCTTAAGTTCTTGAAGTTTAATTTATTTAAGATGTTAAACTTACCTAATTGTGATTATAAGTTTTGTGTTTTCATGAATGCTAGGCCTACACGGTAAGTAATAAAATGTTTAAGAGGTTGATCTATAGTTGAAAATTTAAAGTATCCCTAGTAGGATACCTATCCAGAGAATTAGTGATTCATGCACTGATTTGTTAGATCAATAGTGGAAAAGGTAACTTAAAACCTTTAAATGCTTGTTTAAGATAAATCAATCTTGAATAACCATCAAAATATTAGCACCATATCACAGGAATTTATTTTTAAATTCTCACTAAAAATATGGACTAAAATCATCCTACCTTACACCTGAAGAATGAAATTGCTTGTATCTCACAACTGGAAGTTCAAATTTTGGAGGTATAAAAGTAAACAACTTGGACAATAGTGTCGTCATCCTAATGATCGATTTCTGTAGTTTCGTTATGTGTGACCAAGTAGTATTTTATAAATTTGTCAGCAGCCAATTAATGATCATAAAATAATAAAACATGCCAACATGACAATTTTGTACGTAGCCTACACACTGAAGCTCAGGAAGCACAAACAGAAGGAAGATTCCGTTCCGTTAGCAGACACCACTTTTTAGCTGCGTCAACTTGCAGACAGCTCTAGCTGGTTGGTGCCTTGACAACACAACACAAGTAAAAGCGTCGTAGGTTATTCACACAGAAACAGCCTGCCGCCTGCCTTTCACATGCAGCCAGCTGTTAAATTACTTTCCGCACGTCAAGCTATACTATAAAAAAATTATCCAGATTACTGTTAATTTATTATCAATATTGAAATGTTAAAATCTACTTCCAAGTAGCAAAGCAACTATTGTGACAGCGAGGACGAGGTAAATATTGTACATATTGTAAATAGTGTAAATATATGTTTGACGCAATCTATGAATCTATCCGAAGTCATTTAAGTTAGTTTTGTCTATGGTTAGAATAAGTCATCATTGTTTTTATTGTAAATTGGTTCATGGCCGTCGGAAGGTAAAAAAAAAACACAGTTAAATATTGATGTTGCACTTTAGTGCACGTATTCAAAGGCAAATTATTAACTTATATTTAATTTTATTCTACCAGTAGATTACAACGAATTTCTATTATTAATTATTAATGTTTGAGATCAAACCCGACTCTCTCTTTCACCAAAACCAGAGTTACTAAGAAATATACTTACCTTCTCCAAGGTATTACCATAGATAAAACATACGTTGGTTAGTCTATGGTATTACGTTTTATCTATGGTATTACAGTATGGTATAAACTTTTAAAAGATTCATCCTAAACTGGCTAAGCTTTTTAAACAATGGTATGGGTAATGAAATTTGGGTATTTCAAAAAGCTTTTTGACGGTGTAGTGGTCACACTGACACACTCACCAGTGGTATTTACTCAGGGGAGGTACAGAAGAGGCTACGATGACAGCTGAGGGCTTCTTATTAGCTGAGGGAACGCCATTACCGTAACAAAACGATCGATTGTCATCGGCTTCGATGGTCTAATGGTTAGCGTGCCGGGCTGATATACTGTAGGTCCCGGTTCGAATCCCGCCGGTGGCATTAACTTTTTGTCCAAGATTTTTTTTTATTTTCAGCAAGTTTGGTTGGTTTGGTTTGGTTATTACAGTTTAATTTTATTATTAAGTCATTATAAAATTTTAATTGAGCAATTTCTAGTTTTATTTTATAAAGAGAATTATTTTTCCGATTACTATAAACTTTTGTTATATTATTTCTTTATCAGCAAGTTTGGTTAGTTCGGTTAGGTTATGATAGTTTAATTTTATAATTAAAAATTAATAAAATTGAATTTTAGGCATTTATAATTTTATTTAATGAACAGAACTATTTTTTCGATTAGTAAACCTTCATTGCCAAAGTGCTTTTTACTACAGCGCTGTTCACGGAGGAATTTTGAACTAAATGCCTCATTTGTACCTCCCCTAAGTCAGACCCCTCACCAGCCACATGATTGTGTTTGTTTCTTTATTTGATTGAGGTTAGGTTTTGGTTGTTTTGTGGTGTGTTGTAAGTAGCCTAAGTTAGATTGTTTGAACCTAGGTCCTAGAATCGATAGCATAAGTTCAGTTTATCTAAACTGTGGCATATCTGATAAGTAAACAAATTAATTACTGAGTTTCAAGAAAATGGAAAGTCTATAAGAAGTATTTAAATCATAATGTCCATGCTTGCAGAGAAGAAGAAACGTGAAAAGTGGTGTTTAAATCCACGTGGTAAAGCTTGGAGTGAAGGTCGGTAGTGTAAAGCCTATTTTTTTACAAATTAACTAGTACACTTAAATTAACATTTACCCATACTGTAGTTACACAATTAAACCGTGGTTATGGTTATATACTTATTAATCTAATCACAACGAGTAAGGGTCAGACCAAATTAAATTTTACAGGCGATTAAGCTGAAATTAGGCTATAACTTTAACTTACCGTAATCATTTTGATTAAATTGATTGCAGAATGTTTGCTGTGTGTTGGCCTAGGCGGGTACAGTTTCTTAACTGGGCTACGCTAATATTGATTGAAACTATCGATTCAATTAGTAAACCTTCATGCGATTTTTTCACCATCAGCGCATGATTGGTTGGTTAGGGCTATGATAGTTTTATTTTATAATAGATATAGGCCTATTTAAAAATATCGATTAACCCTCCGAGTGTTATGTGTCGTAAAAGGGACTCATAACACATCCACTGTAGTGTTATGTGTCGCTTTTGCGACTCACAAACACTGTTTACGGCGACGGCTCTGGGACTGACTGAATCGGATTGAACTGGATTGAGTTAGGTATTGTTTTTTTCAGCAGATTCAGAGCTTTCTCCTCTGATCACTTTTAGCGAATTTCCCATATAGGGAATAAGCTATTACCGTAGGTCTCATGGTAAGACCTAGACCCGGGACCGATTTACTTTTTCGTTTTGAGGTCCCCAGAGGCCAAAAACACCATCCGTTCAAATTCATATATATATATATATTTATATATATATAAATATATATATATTTATATATATATGTGTCCGTTAGCGCGATAACTCGAGCAAAATTGATCCGATTTTGATGAAATTTGGTACAAACGTGTAAACCTACATTTATTCGAACGAGTTCGCGAACCAGCATAATCGGACCATGGGATCAGGGGTTTATGGGGGGTTTTATGGGGTAAAAATGGGTTTTTCTCATTTTTGACCCTAAAAACTTTAAATTTCTAAATTTCTCTCTAGACCATTTTGAAGAGCTTAAAAAAACAAATAAATTAGTATATTGAAGTGTTTTTGAATGTTCATTGACTACAGAGAAAATTAAAAAAAATTGTAAATTTAAAATTCCCATGTTATTCTTATAGAGAATAAATAAACTGTTCTAGTTTGCTTGTTTATGGATATACTGTTAATCAAATTTGGCAATTTGGTTTATTTCATACTAAGCTATCAATATTTCAATTGAAAAAACACACCTCAACATCTTCCCCGTAGCAGCAAACCTAACTACTCACTAAAATTAATGTTATTTAAATAGGAAATAAATCTGAACATTTATAGGGAATATTGTAGTAGAAATCAAGCCGGGTAAATGGAAATCCGCTTAGTATGCAGGTTTGCTGCGACGGGGGTATTATTCCTTTACAACTTCTTTTTTTATTACTAGGGTAATTATTATTAGATCCCAAACCTATTTTATCGTGAAAATAATAGCTTTATAATGGCTGTTAAATTTCACTTCTTACTTGTACTTTCGGCTTGAAGATTCAATTTGCCGCGGCCAGTGCCTAGTGTCATAAAACTGTTTATGGTTTCATATTAAACATGTAAATAATCTACAGTCTTGTTTTGTAAGTTAAACCCTTTTTTATGGACATTTTATCTTTCAATTGACAAAACCACTAGCATTGTTGTTTGCATTAATGTTTTATCACTATGTAGGCCTGCTTGGTTTCAAATTATGTCATTGCATTTTCTGTATCTTTGTCTTATATTGTTGGCTATTCAGGTTTCAATGTTTTTTGTTTCCCATATATTTATTTATTGAGTTGTATGCTTTAAGCAATCAAAATCTTATGTGAACTAGAATGATGATGGTAACTTTGCTGCTATTATAACCTCATTGTTTGTTACTCAGTTTATATAGGCGCCCTCCTAAATAATTAGGTCTAGGCCTGGGTATTTTGATTCTTGAAAGAGCTGTAAAATATATTAAGAAAATGTAATTGACCCTATAAGATAAACAACTAATGATTGCTATGTGTCGATATTAACTTTACAAATGAAAATACAATAATCTTACTCTGTGCTTATTGCTTATTAATAGCCGCTTACCATACCTTGATTTTGTACTAAGAATTGAGTAACAATATGCATTAAAGATTTTTTTTCATAAGTAGTCGAGAACCTAACGTTGTGCCAGGGCGAATCATGCCAAATTAATCCGCCTGGATTGGATAAGCTATGTTATGAAGTTTACGTGACGGATGGAGATATTTGTCGCTATCGCAGGAGAGAATGATTGCGTTTCTCTGTTACACTATAAAAGCTTTACCTAAAGTATAGCCTAGGTAGGCCTATGTTTGTTTACTTTCAATACATTTCTATTTTGTCATTTTTAACTCTTATCTATTATTATTTACTTTTCTCTCTGGTTCAACTACGGTGAATAACAAGATTAATACGGTACAGTTTGACAAATCAGAAAAATTATTCGGTAGGCCTAATGACACCGACAAAGGTTACGGCAAAGTGTCCTTAAATGTACGGGAATTGTCCATGAATTTTTTATCCAGAATGTAGTAGACACCCTGATCCTGGTCACTGCCACAAACTTTTATCAGTAGGCCTACAGTTCACCTTTGTACTGTACCGGCTCACCCCTTGCTTTGCTGGATACGTTCCACGCACAGATCTGTAGTCTATGTGGATGGGCAAATGCAAGGCTAAAAGAGGCCGCCAACCTCTTTTTTTCTAAAAAAAAAAAAACAATAATAATCAGCTGGTAGTTTATGTATAGGCTAATGTATACCCTTTGGGGCTACCAGCCGCCTGTACAGGGCCTGTTGTGAGTCGTTGCATGCGTGTATTGTGTGTGTGTGCGTGTGTGTAAAAGGTGAATGAATGGTTTCCTACTCCCAGTGATTTTTGACATCATTACTAAATACTTTCTTAATTTGACTTTTCATTTTATTTACATTTGCTAGTTATTTTTCATAGTGTTAACGTTATCTGCTGTGGCTTCCTGGTAAAATGATTTTTCTCCTACTTTTGTAAATGCAACTTGTCTATATAACAATGTTTAGATTATAGAATATGGAAAGACTGATGTACTCGTTCCTCACGCACAAGCTTTGCCTATGTGGGGATGTAATTTCTGTAACCATTAATTTTCATGCAATAAATGATAGGCTATATTTAATTTTTTTTTTTATTTTATCAAAGTAAATGTAGGACGGACAAATTAAAGTGCAACCCATTAAAGGTTAGGATGGTTTGTTGGTTAGAAGTATCATTGAGGCGACATTCACGTGATACACAACGTATAGGTTATGGAAAGTAATTTTTAACTTCAAATTCAGCTAACAAAATTACTTAGTTTACTAAACATTTCAGTAGGCTACAATACATAGGCTAGCTTACTTACATAGCCTACAATAATCATCTTGAGAAATAATGGTTGTATACGTCCTACATTTTTACTATTATACATTAACTACCAGCTGATTATAAAATGAAACTGTTTAAACTTAACCAAACCTTACCAAACTGCAGTAGCCTATGTGAGTAAATGTAGGACGTAAACTAAAGTGCAGCCTAGTTCAATAGGCCTTATAACAGTACTTTCTTATCATACGGGCAGGCCACCCTTATACAGCACGCTGTGGTGGTTATGTTAGGTTGGGTTATCATAAACATGTTTGACTTGTAGGACTTTCCTCGTTTTGTTATGAATCGAATGATACCAAATAAGTCATACTTTCGCCCACCAAATCCCCTCCAAGTAGGCCAAGGTGCACCTCCTTGACCGGAGGGTGCACATTATCTGCCACCGCCTGTATCTGCATCAGTGTCCTGAGTGACGACTCGTTCAATTCGAAATAACAAAACGAGGAAGTCCTAAAATACTTTAATACTTTCTAGTGTCCCTGTTGCTCGAATTCAAGCAATTGATAAGTGTACTTTTATTTTGTATTACAGGCGTTATTTTCAACCAAGCCAGCAAATATTTTTAGCAAACTGTTAAATTAGCAAACTTATTCTCTGTTTACAATTAACATATGCTCTTCTTCTCACTTTTGATTTTTGACAACAGCTGGAGTTTCATAACAATTTTTGTTTCCAATGTTAATCTTATGGAGAAATACAAAACTTTAAAGGGCTCCAGGGCCTCACTCTCTCATTATATCCCTAAAAAGAAAGTTTCCTGCACAGCTTCACGTTATGCTCAATTTCCAATGACACCAAAAACATGACAATCGGTTCAGTAGTTTTAATAATCTTATTAAATGGCGACCATACAAAGTAGGTATTTTAAGCCTAGTATGAATGGAGATACAAACATATTATGATAACCCAACCTAACATAACTGCCGCAACGCGCAGTATACCTACTTGGCGGAGTAGGCCTACATGTGACAGCTAGCGGCGGCGACACAATCAACTCAATTCTCGCCGACAACGCTGCCTTCTGGGAGGAAGAACTCAAAGGCCGCTAATTGTAATCATGTCAAATGTAGACAGTAGTCAATTAAAGTATGTTCTTTCCAATTAATTATGTAACCTAAGTTTACTGTAGTTATTTTTGGTCTCCGGTAAAAAAATCCCTCTAAAATAAGTGGCTTCCGTATATTATGGAAGTTTTTAAATACCTTAGACACTGCTATAAGAATTGATGTGGACAAGCGTTTTTATAAGGCTTATACAGTTAAGTGTTGGAAATCACCTAGATTGTAGTACTGTATAATGTTCTGTACCAGGTTAATGAGTAAAAATAAATAGAATCTGGACAAGGTCACTAATTGCTTAAGTTCATGTTTGTTTTTCAAAGAGGTGTAGCATGTTTTTTAGTTCCTTTTTAACACAAAGAATAACATTTGGAGATCTCTGGGATTTTAAACCCTGAAAGAGTATTTTTCCCATTTTTCTTTTCATTAAAATTACGCATATTTTTTGGCAATGCTTACTAACAGTTTGGATAAAATATCATTTTTGTTCAGTTTTACGTGTTGTAATTTTAAAATAATGAAAGACTTGTTCAGTAATAAAATCGCATGTAAACCGACTAGTTTAACCAATATATTTTGTCCAGATCAGAACAAGTTTGGACAGCGTCTGATGGAGAAGATGGGATGGAAAGCAGGCGAAGGCCTAGGAGCAAACCAGCAGGGTATCACAGACATAGTCAAAACGAGAGTGAAAAACGACAGTAAAGGTTTGTATAATTGTACAGGTAATACATTAGCTCTGTGACTATCTACATTTTAATACTATGATTGAAATTCCGACATGTACAAAATGTGTTACAAAAAGAGTTTTTTAAATTATTAATTCATTGATTGAATAATATATATTTGTGTTAAATTCATACACTGACAACAACAAGTTAGACAAGTTTTGACAAAAAAATGTTTTAGGCCTAACCCACTGATGCCAACATTTTTATTTCTCTACTAGCTGTGTGCCCGTTCTACGCACGGGGATCTTAAAGTAGACAGTTGAATGTGACAAAAATCACAAAATGTTTTGGGGTTTTTGGACATTTGTAACTTTATTTCTTAAGTAGGTAGGTCATGTATTCCATGGAAAAGTACCGGTATCAAGGATCGTCATCGAAAAGGTTGTTATGAATAGAATAAATAGGTAGGCGTACGTACCCAAGAGATGGGCTATGGGCCTATTGGCTGTATGGTCCAGCGATTGCATCACACGGTGAGTAGAAACAGAAAGTGAAACATTGGAAAAGCGAGTTTAGCATCATCCGTATACCTCTATTTCTTACAATCACCCACTGCAGTTGTCATTTTTTTACTTTACACTTTACACAATCGCTATTGAAGCGCCGTCAGTGAGTGGAAACCTTGTTTGTAAGCTATTGGCGACGATCATTATAAGTGTCCCAGTCCAATACAACACTGATTCAAGGTCTTCTTTCTGGTTATTAAAACTCAAGAACAATTTCACACACAAATAATCTCTGGTTCCTGACCTGGATGATGCCTAGTTATTTAATTTCATTTACGGTTACACTATAATATTGCACTTGCGATTAATTAAATCCGTTATGTAAGAAATACGTTTTTAATCTCACTTTGTTTGGGATTTGCTTTCAAAACGTGATCAGAAATGATTGCAGTATTCGTAAACAACATTTGTAAACATATCAGTGACAGATAGAAAAAATAATCTTGATCCGAACAGCTGTTCGTTATTTCATAGATGATTATGTAATAAAAATTGACCGAAAACTTGGCAAAAATCGCACAAAACTGCATTTTTGAACGTCCGTAATTTTATTTACAAAGTAGTGAGGCCATGTTTTAATGGCTAAAGACACTCTCGCCAATCCAGTGAATACATTAAAATGACTTGGATCTTGATAGGTACTCTCGTTTTCATGGAGAAGATTGCGTAAAATGCCATCTTGAGTGTTACAGAAAGACAGACAGACAGAAATAGAGATAAGACTTGTTTCTGCTTCTTTAATGTATAAAACGTAAAAATAACCTAAAAATTTATAATTCTGAGCAATGTACAGAGTGAGTCGGTGGCTCAGTCGGTAGCGTCGCGGACTTCGGGCCCAAGGCAGCGATGTCGTGGGTTCGGAACCCGGTCACTGCCGATAACATTTTATCAGTACAGTTCACCTTTGTACTGTACCGGCTCACTCCTTGCTTTGCTGTAAACGATCCACGCACGGGCGCTTAGTCTATGTGGACGGGCAAATGCAAGGTTAAAAGAGGCCGCCAACCTCTTTAAAAAAAAAAATAAAAAAAAAAAAAAAAAAAAAAAAAAAACTCTAATTTATTTATATAGATTAAATTATTATTTTAGGTTATGCCCTTTATCATACTGGCTATGTAATTCCAAGCAGGATTTGTCTATTTTTAAACCTAAATAAAGCCAAAAAGAAAAGAAATTGGTGTAAACTCACTACTGTTGTTAATTTATACCCAAGACGGACACCGTTTATTTAAGGTCTTTCACTCTACCAAATCCACACATTAGTAAGTTCAATATGTATTGCACATGTACAGGAATTTAACCTTAAATTGTCGAAAGACCTCAACACTACACTTGTCAGAGCAACGCCATAGCCAACTGAGCTACCATCGGCTGATCAGGTCTACTATCACTGTAAACAAACAACGATACTTGTGCTTGTAGGTTAGATTCAGCAAACTACTTGAGTGCCAGTGGGTTATCTCGCTGAGGGTTATCTTGCATCAAAATGTGGTCACGTTTGCATAGGCTTACTTGAGCTTTTGTCAATGGGCTAAATATCATGGCATATTTTGAAGCTATTCTATCATGTTGATGATAACTTACTGTCTTATCCATTTAGAGCTATGGTTAGTAGGTAATCCTTTTGTGTGTTTTAGGTTTGGGATTTAAGGAGAACGGGGAGGAGTGGATGAAGACGACGAGTGAATACGACTCCCTACTTGAGAAACTTGCCAGCAGCAATGGAGAGGAAGGGAAAGAGAGTCAAACTGCTGCGCCCGTCTCCCTTGAGGATCGCTCCAAGAAGTCTAGAGCTCGTATCCAGTAAGTCAATATGTTGTTAATCTTTTAGCGAATTTAGAAGCATTAGGCATACGCACCTAGACCTAGACCCGGGACCGATTTACTTTTTAATTTTGATATCCCCACTTGCCAAAATACACTATTTGTTAAAATTGGTTTATATGTGTGTGTCTCGTGAGTTCAATAACTTGAGCAATTTTGTCCAATTTTTATAAAACAAAATGTTTGTGTGGTTTGAAATTTGTCAAAAATTGATTTATTCAAACTTACCCTTAAAACATAAAAATGGCCAATTTTCATACAACTATTGTTAAGAGCTTAGAAGACAAATAATTTTGTACATTGAAGCGTTGTTGTACAATGAAAAAGGTTACAGAAAAAATTTGAAAAAAAACCTGTAGCCTACACATTTTTAAAACACCCATGTTATTTTTAGGAGAAAACTTAAGCTGTGCAGTTTGCTTGTTTGTGGATATTTTGATCAAATTTGGCAAATCCTTTGATAGAGTACCATACTATTTACATTTCCCGCCAAAAATCACCATTTTCCTCCCCTGTAGCAGAAAACCATAGGTACTCGTTAAACCTAATTTTATTTGAATAGGGAATAAACCTGGGTCGCCGGAAGGTTGACACCAGAGATCGAGGGGGCAGTTTTCCAGTCACGGACACTCAAGTTTTGTTGTCATACTGTTCTAAACTAACCTAACTTAACCAACCAAACCTGCTGTAACATTTCAAAATTCTGTATGATATAGGCCTACATGCCTTCTCTGTCATCAAATGGAATTAGGTACTCGAATTAAAATTACAATTACATAGCATCACATTTTGCTAGGGGGGTAGTATTCCAGTCGCGGACACGGCTACCATATTGGTTAGTTGGCAGATTTTGTGACGTAACGTTTCTGCATTCCCATAAATCTGACTATTTGAAGGGAATAGGGAAATATTTTTGTAGAAATTTAATCAGACGAATAAAATTGTGCATGGTCTGCAGGATTACTGTGTCAGGGTTATTGTTTTTACATCACTGATAAGTAGTCGAAAGTCATCATAACCTGTGCTTTTGCCCTTTTGGTCTAACTTACTTGTAATTAATTGTAGCTTGAAAGAGTCATATTGTATCACATTTTTTGTTTCAGTTACCACAAGTTTACAAGAGGAAAGGACGTAAGTCGTTATTCAGAAAAGGACTTGGCTTCCATATTAGGACCTGAAGTAGTAAAAGTGAAAAGTGAACAAAAGACCTCTGCTGATTATACCCAAAACCAAATAAATAAAGGGAGCCTAGAAGAATACTTTAGCAAAAAGTTAAAGTCGAAAGAGAAAAATTGTGATAAAAACATTGAGGATGACAAATGCAACGACGGTGAAGATAATGGGATTGATTCAAAAAATAATTTAGAGTCAGACCCTCCTGTCCCACATAAAAAGAAGAAGAGGAAGAATGGCAGCGTTGAAGATAACCTGGTGGAAAACTCAAAGGAAGATAATATATGCAACGATGATAGAGAAACTGTGATAGATTCTAAAGATAATTTAGAGTCAGACCCTCCTGTTCCACCAAAAAAGAAAAAGAGGAAGAAAACCGGAGTTGAAGATAACCTGGCAGAAAACTCAAAGGAAGTTAATGTATGCAACAATGATAAAGAAAGTTTGATGGACTCAAAAGATAATTTAGAGTCAGACCCACTTAAAAAGAAGAAGAGAAAGAAAACCAGTGCCGAAGACGACCAGGCAGAAGAAAAATCAAGTGTAAACTGTGATGAAGATATACCAAAAAAGAAAAGGCATAACGTGAAAGCAGAAGAAGAAAAGACAACAAAATATGAAGAGTCCTCTAATGTCAGTAACCTTGTTTCTGAACAGAGTCTAGCTGATGAAACTGAAACCACAAAGAAGAAGAAGAAGAAATCCAAAGTTAAACTTGAAGAGGCAGAGGTACAACAAACAGAACTTATTAGTGAGTGTATGAACAATGAATTTGTAAATGCTGAAGATACTGTTTCACAAAAAAAGAAAAAGTCTAAAAACAAAAGTGAAAAATTAATGTTAGACTCATCAGAAGTTATAACTGAAGATGATGTAAAACCATCAAACATCAATGTTGCTGCATCTGATACTACTGAAGTTGTACTAAAGAAGAAGAAGAAATCAAAAGAAGTTTACCAAGAACAGGAAGAAGAGCCTTTGCTGAACGTATCGGTAAAAAAAGAGAAAAATAAACCACCAAAAACAGATCAATCTGAAGAAGAAACTGCGCAAGGAATTAAACAGGTAATTAATGGTTCTTTAAATGAAGTCTCAACTACTAGTCACATTAAAAAGAAGAAGAAACGCAAAAAAGAAACATCATGTGGTTAAAACATGTATAAACGTTCTTTCAATAAACTCATTTATTGAAAGTAAAAACGGTTTTCATTCTCCTTATAGTGATCAAAATATTCACAAAAGTTGATTTAGTCACTGACTCAGTCATACCTATTTATCAACTTTGTTGTTATTTGGTCACCAACATGGCAACTTTTAAGGCATATGAAAATGTGTCTTGCATTTTAAATTAACTTTTTGTGCTTATTTTTTAGCCTATTTTAATTAATAAAGGAATTCTGCACATCTGCAGGAAAATATCCTTCCAACAGTATGCGTAGATTTTCCCTGCGATGCTGAGAAAAAAGGTTCTCAAGAAACATGCTTGACTATTAATATATAGGATGATTATTGCTTGTCCTATAACGGTACATGACTTCCCAATATTTTTTGTTTTGTAAATAGAAGCATGTGAACTTTTCTTCACTGCATTTAACACATTATCATTACTTAAACCTGCATAAGCTTAACTACACTTAACTACAGCTAACATTTCCCCGACATTTTACGTTAGGTTTGCAATGCATGACTTTGTTTATCCACGATCATTCAGCCACTCATTATTTTGGATAATTGAGAGTCTACTGTATTGAAATTGTCAAGATATATAGAAGAACCATTAAGTGTATACTGCGATAGTTTGATTTTAACCCTAATATCAGTGTAAGCCACAGTGCAATGAAGGTGGGTTGGCATACAGGGTGGGAAAAAAGTCCCGGGACAGTTGAATATTTCAAATACCTCCGCCGCAGTAAACTTGCAGACTAAGAGAATTTCAACTTGTCTGATTACATTTTTACTAAAATATTTCCATAAATAAGACATATTTATTTATTCCCTATTTAAATAACATTAGATTTAACAAGTGCTTAGGTTTGCTGCTACGGGGAAGGTAAAAAGTGTTTTTTGACCATACGTCAATAGTATAGGATGAAATAAGTAAATTTGCCAAATTTTATCAATATATATCCATAAACAAGTAAAGTACGGTACAACAATTTTCATTTTCTCCATAAGAATAACATGGGAATTTTAACTTGTCACTATTTTTGACAAGCCGTTCAAGGATTCAAAACTGCATATTCAAGATATCTTTAAACGGCTGCCACATTTGATTCAGTTGTCCCTTTGAGTTCAATTTTGCAGAATTGTATTCTGCTAGTAAAGCCTTGTAATTTGATGCGTATATCAACTTCTAAACATTTAAGATTTTCTTTTGACTCCAAGCGGGCCGTCCTCCCCTGAGGAGGTAGCGCATCACTGAATAATGTGTTAACATTTAATGCCCAGTAACAGCACAGTACTAGGTTACTTTTATTACTTTTTGAAATATTTAACTGTCCCAGGACTTTTTTTCCACCATTTAAGAAATGTATAATAATTTTATAAGTGAAAATATGCTCGGGCATAATACTGAAAAAAATGATCATATCTAGAGCAATAGTCAAGTTTATTTTTTAGTTTGATAGAACTTTAAAATAGTGTGGACAGAATAAGGCAATCTTCCTCAGCCGCGTTTAGACAAGCCTAGTAGGCAGGCAGGTTTTCTCAGGTAACTTGAAATCCACTAGCTGAGGCTGGTAACCTGTCTTCCTACTGTCCTTGTGTGAACACGGCTTTAAGCAGGGTTCTTAATGTACGAATGTTAGGAAATCGGATTAATTATTCAATGAACTCTAACTCTGCACTCTTTGTAAGATAACAGAAGAGTCATATTGCAGTATCTGTTTCCATCCATATGTTTGAGCCTATGTCTGCGGATCATTGTTAATATTGAGATGGCTTCAGATTAAAACGCATATGACTGGTAAAGGAGTTTTTTGTTGTCTTTTTATATCAGGGATATGAGTTTAGATAAATTACTGAAGAACTCTTGTCTTGAGAGATGTTTTGCCTTAGTGTAGGACTACTTCAGAGTTAAGCTAGAGAATTTACTCCCTAATGAATTGTTTAGGTTTTTGACCTTTTATGCATATTTCTGAAGTCCATACATGCTAATTTTCTTAGGTAATGTAGATAAACTCTACCTTATCTTAAAAAAGCTCCTAGTGTTCAAAAATTATTGCCATTTGTCATTAGGCTATAAATTGATGTAACTAGCTTTCTATATCCATGAGATGATTGGATGTTTCATAGTAACAAAACCAGCATAAGGAAATATGCCTAACCCCAAATACAAATTACTCTGGTGCTTTCTCACTTGAAATGAATAAATATTTTCACTTTTTATATAAAATATTTTATTGACTGCCAACTGAGTTAAAATATATGTTGGTAATTCGGCTTAGTTTAAGTTAAAAGGATTTGTTTATGGTGACTTTTAATCTTTTCTAGGCCTCTATATGAAAACTATTTTTGTAATGAATTTCAGAGTAAGCTTTGCATTTCATAATACACTTTCAAAATTTAAAATTTTCTTTCATGGTGTTTTTTCATCAATGTGAAGGTTAAAATGTTGGGTTTTACTGGAATGTATTACTTTCAGGTAGCTTCGTCTAAAAAGGCGGAAGATTGTATTGAAGTTCTTGGCCGTAAAACTCGATTGAAAAAGATAAACAATCCATGTAAAACAGCAACCAATGACTCTTATCAAACTGAAGAGTTCATGTGTTTTTCCACAATGAATGTTTCTCAGACTGCAGCTGAAAAAGATGTTAATAAAAACTCAATACCTATGGCAAAACCAGATGCTAGTATGGAAGGAAAGACCAATATGAAAATGACAAAGCAAAGCAAAAATCCTCAAATTATAGAGAAAGTTATGGAAACAAAATCTAAAGCTATGTATAAAACGAAAACAGACACGGTTGAGGATTCTAACGTTATGAAATGTTACGAAAACCCAAATTCTGAGGAGGCCAATGTACCAAAACATGTTGTGGCCTACGAGTACAGGCTTGTTGTAGCACGACTGAAACATCTGGAAATATCACCACCAAAAGTGAAAATTACTATAGAAGAAGAAAAAAACCTTAATCCAACAATAATCAGGAAACTAAGACAAATAGGAAAAATTAAACAGTTTAAAACCTTATTGGCAGCCAAAGATAAGACTGAAATAGAAACTTTGGTGTCAAAATTTTATGAGAATTTAAAACCAAAAATTGAAATGATGACATCATTGGGTGAATTAGAAGAAAAAGTATATAAGATTGCTAAAAACTTGGAAGGGAACTTAAATCCCACAGAAAATGAAAATGTGTCTACTATTGCCAAAGAAGAATTGCCAGAGAATGTTGATTCATTGAAAAGTCAATTACAAAAACTTGAAAACCTTTTTAGTCGTTACAGAACAAACAATGATGAATCGAATACTTCTAAAGATAATACCAATAAGGTAAGAGATTTAACTACGTTAAAACAAATGGTTGAAATCTGATATTATTTTATACATTAGTACAATATTATGTTTTTCTATCAAATATACAGGGTGTTTGTGAACTCTCTCGAAAAAATTCACAGGATTATTCTGTGGGTTAATACATGAATATTTTACATTATAAACATGGGTTGCCGGAGCCTCGTTTTCCGTCTGTCTGTCTGTATGTGTTTTTTTATAAATAACCTTATAACTCGAATTTGAATCGAGGTACAAACTTTAAATTTAACACACTTGTGTATTTTAACGTGGTACACAAACATACAAAATTTCATTTCGTTGACTTTAGCCGTTTCAAAATGGCGGCCATCTAAAATCTTTGACCTTAAATTACATGAAAACTACTAGAGTTACAAAAAGAACATTAGAAAAACAAAATGTAGAAAATTTTATGCCAAATCAAATTACACATAGATCCTAAAGATCGGACAACAAACAGCTGAGTTATTATTTTTTTAAATAATTAATAATTTCTTTACTGGCTTTTAATTGTTATTGTTTATTCTTTGAAATCATCTGATCCTTTCTAAATTGTTACAACAATGTAAGACAGCTGTTTGGACAGATGATTTTGAGATGATGATCAGATGATTTTTTTGAGTTATTAGTTTTTTGAATAATTAATAATTTATTTACTGGCTTTTAATTGTTATTTTTTATTCTTTAAAATCATCTGATCTGAAGACTGCTGGTTTGCCCTAACAACAACATTTAGTTTTTTTACTAGATGGTAAATGTATTAAGTGTCCTATTTTTACCTTAACCATTGAGATCTGTTTAAGATTACGTACTCTGTATCAGATGATTTTAATGAATAAACAATAACAATTAGAATTCAGTAAAGAAATGATTAATTATTTAAAAAATTAATAACTTAGCTGTTTGTTGTCCGATCTTTAATATCTATGTGTCATTTGATTTGGCATAAGATTTCCTACATTTTGTTATCCTTGTGTTTTTTTTTGTAACTCTAGTGGTTTTCATGTAATTTGAGGTCAAAAATTTTAGATGGCCGCCATTATGAAACGGCTATAGTCAACGAAATGAAATTTTGCATGTTTGTGTACCACGTTAAAATACACAAGTGTGCCAAATTTAAAGTTTGTACCTCGATTCAAACTCGAGTTATAAGGTTATTTATAAAAAACACATACAGACAGACAGACGGAAAACGAGGCTCCGGCGACCCATGTTTATAATGTAAAATATTCATGTATTAACCCAAGGAATAATCCTGTGAATTTTTTCGAGAGAGTTCACAAACACCCTGTATAAACTATCATAATATTGAGCAATTGTCTGTCTACGAGGAGATTGCATAATTGTTTGAAGGTTCTTTTGTTGTATAGGCCTAAACTACATAACAACATATCTTTAATTTATTATAAACACCAAACTCAGAAGATTTGTATTTTGCCTTGCCATCTAGCACATGGTGTCTGTGCTAGAAACCTTGTTTTTTTCAACTCCATCATATTTAAAATGCTAGTAATTGCGTCTTAAGCTGAAACCCTTTTAAAAATCGGTAAAAAATGCCAGTGGCATTAAAAACCACAACATTATAGAAAAAGTTAAATTTACTTGGCTGACCTAAATTTCAATGAAACTCAAACTATCTGGACAAAACACAATTTTTCTGGATTGTAAAAGTTAGGACATCTTTTACCATTGTAAAAAAGTCTGGATGACAATCATACAAGCAAGCCTACGTTCCATGAAACAAATACCTCTAAATAGCTCTACATTTTACCACTAATTTATGTAATAGTATTTTAAAGTGAATATGAGATAAATATGCTGTTCCAAAGTATATAATCAATTTAGAAAAATTAATGTGAAAAATAAAATAAAAACTCATAATTTTAAAAAGCATACATTTTCAGGAGGGTTCAGATGCAGACGATACGGCAGGAGAAACCGATTGTATGTGGTTGAAGAAAGCAGAGAAGAGACTTGAAACTTTGAAAGAGAACCAGAAACTGTTGTCCGAGGGCAAAATACCACCCAATTTAACTCTTAGTGTAGAGCCTAAAAAAGTTCCCAAAAAGAAAAAAAAAGTATTTGTCAAAGTAGTTAAAAAACCTAAAAAACAGTACAATGAAAAACACGATTTCAAAAATACAAGCTACTCCAGAGGGAGAGTTGCACATAACGTCAGGAACCAAAGAGGTAGAGGTGGAATTAAGGGGGTACAAAGTGCAATTCCACACGGGGGTTGGGGAGTCCTCAAGTCTTTTGGAACAGACGGGCAGGAACTTCCAAATCGAGGTCAGAACACAGGAGGGTCTGGAGGCGAAGGGTACGGAGGAGGCTTTTTCGATGAAAGTATGTGGAGAGGAAGAGGAACTGGTAGAGGTGTTATGGGGCGAGGAAGGGGTGATTTTGTTGGACGAGGAAGGGGTCATTTTATGGGGCGAGGGGGAGGCTTCATGGGACCATGGGGAGGTAATTTCATGGGAGGAAGAGGTAATTTCATGGGAGGAAGAGGTAATTTTGTAGGACAAGGGGGAAGTAATTTCATGGGGCGAGGAAGGGGTGCATTCAGGGGCCGAGGAAGAGGGGATGTAAGAGGAAGGGGGAGAATATCACAAAACAACTTCGAAGCAAAACTGTACGCTGAAAAATGTAAGGAGCTTAACAAAGTACCAGAAGTTTGTTTCAATGGTGTGAACTTGAAGCTCATATCTGGTTATGCTGCCAATGTAACTCCCACTAAAACCACTGTGCTTAGCAACACTGAATCCAAATCAAGTGGAAGTCAACCTGTCATTTCCAATTCGGTCACAAAACCGGGAGCATCGTAGCAAAAAAGAAAAAAAATAGTTTGTTCAAAAATTTTGTTGAAAAGAATTAGCTAGGCCTATATAAATTATTAATAATTTTCATCTTTGATATTTTTTAATGTTACAGTAAAACCATATGAAATCAGTCATTTTTATGCATCTTAAATGCAACGCAAAACATTTGTTATAAAATACCTTTACTTAGGTACGGTACCAAAAAATACTGCAAAAATTTCAATGCTATACAGGGTGATCAACTCAAGGGGGCCACCATTGGGATATCGGAAACGGTAATAATTAGAGAAAACTTTAAATGGGGGACATTCCTTTATTTTTTGTTGCAATTAAAAATATGAATTTTTAGTTTTTTTTAATTCAGGCGCCATTTTCCAATATGGTGGCCAACTGTACAATTTCTTATGGAACACCCTATATTTGATCCTGTTTACGGATAGAGCATACAATTTAAAAACTTTTTTATTCTTGGCATAATTTTCATAAACCCACTTGTTTGGGAGTTACAGCCTATGAAATAAACGGTATCAGCATTGTGACACATACTTTCTCCCATAAGTTTGTCAACAACCTTTATCATGTGTAAGCGGTGAGAGTAAATATACGGAAATGGGATTTGTACAATTTTGTTCAGAATTTAAGGACTACACATACTACACATACTAACATACTAATTTTTTATCAAAATCGTTCGAGCCATTTTTGGGGAAAAACCAGGTTTTTATGGGAAAAAAACATAATTTACAATCACTTTTGAACCCTAATTTTTTAAGAAATAGGATTTGTACTATTTTGTTCAGAATATAAAGGACTATGACATACTAAATTTTTATAAAAATCGTTTGGGCCATTTTTGGGAAATCCTTTTTTTCCGGTTTTTTATGGGTTTTTATGGGAAAATCCCCATTAAAAATCAAAATTTCAAAAAAATGCTGGAGATACCATGGATTAGAACTTGCATACCAAATTTCATCTAAATTGGACCACAGGTGTAGTCCCTAGCTCTGTACACATCCAGACACACAGCCATCACTTTGAAAACCACTTTTTTGGGTCCAGGGGGACCCAAAACGAATATATCCACTCAAAACTCGAAAATTTTGACGAAAACAATACTTTCTCCATATACTATGGTATAGGGGGAGAAAGTAAAAATGACTTCCGGTGTACATGTTGCATCATGTAGCTCCTAAACGAATAGGTTTATAGCGAAAATTCAAACGTAAATAAGTCTTAAAATTGCATCTACATTCCAAAAAGACCCTAAAATACCTTAAAAACACACAGTTTTCCACTTTTCAAGTTTGCTGCGATTTTGGAAAATGGTCGCCATTTTTGAAATAGCAAAATTAATATTTTTTATGTATTTTATGGTCTTTTTGGAATCTAGATGCAATTTTAAGACTTATTTATTTACATTTGCATTTTCGCTATAAACCTACTCGTTTAGGAGCTACATGATGCAACATGTACACCGGAAGTCATTTTTCATAGGCTGTAACTCCTAAACAAATGGGTTTATGAAAAAAATGCCAAGAATAAAAAAGTTTTTAAATTGCATGTTCTATCCGAAAACAATATAGGGTGTTCCATAAGAAATTTCAAAGTTGGCCACCATATTGGAAAATGGCGGCTGAATTTCAAAACACTAAATTTATATTTTTAATTGCCACAAAAAATAAAGGAATATCTCCCATTTAAAGTTTTCCCTAATTCTTACCGTTTCCGATATCCCAATGGTGGCCTCCTTGAGTTGATCACCCTGTATAATTAATAAGAGTAGTAGAACTTTACCTTCTGGATGAAAATTTGATAAATTTTCTCTACAATAGTTAGAATCTAATTGAATAAAAAACCAATGTCTGTTGTGTATTTACGAAATTGTTATAGGCTCCTCTGTACAAAGATTTACACAAGTAGGCCTATACAATTGTTCAATTTTACCAATGAATTTATGTGGAAATATGTTTTTATGTAAATATGTCTGTAAATAAATAATTTTATTCAACTTAACATTTTATTTATAACCTTTTAGCCAAATTAGGTTATACTCATGGCTGACACTAAATGATTTTAAAGGGTAACAAGCTAAGATAAATACATTTATTTTTTTTATCTACTATGGATTGGTCAAATTCAAATATTAATACAAAATGTTGGTCTTGGAGTGTTCAAACAAAAACAGTCCATGTTGAATAATATACCTTCAATCTGTTATATTAATTAGTCCATGATTGTTATTCTGAAACTTCACTGCATGTAGTTCATCTTGCTCAGTTTTATATTTCCTTGATAAGTCAGCAATCGAATAAATCATTTTCTAATAATGGATTTTTACAGTGGATGTGCTTTGGTAAAATTTTCTTTTAGTGTAAAATGTTCAAATAAATATGTTTGCAAGGTATTTGATCACATTTCTAAGCCTGTTTCCACAGTAAAAAAATTGAAATTGTTTGAAATATTGAAACTTAAATTAATAGCTTTCAAATGGGTGATAATTAAGGAGTGCAAATAAAAACGGTTTAAGATGTAGACTTTTAATAAAACACAGAGATTATTAATTAGTACTCTTATTTACATAATATCTCTTAATTAACGAAGGAGAAAGACTGAGCATTAACAATGTCTAGCAAAATCACTGGCACTTTCAGGAGTCTGAGAGATTTGTTCACTATAAAACAAATAGTTAAAATATCAGAATTACCACATTCATTCACATAAGTTTTTCCACAGTCAAAGAAACATAAAAGTAAGATGTGTTGGTGTCAGCTGATACGAGGGATGAAGGTAGAGGTGAAAACGGCCAAAGCTGCCACCAGTAGTGCCACCGCGACACTGTACCTCAGTTGTAGCAACGTGTGATCGCCTGGACGTACCCAGTCCTTCACAACACTCAGCCATGGCGCCTGTAGACTCACCCTCCTGTGAACAACCAGCTTTTCAGTAATTTATCAATCAAAAAGCCTCTATTCTCAAGTGCTAAGTCCAAACTGGTTACACAATCAACAATAGAAATAGCAAACAAACAACAATGAACAAATTTACAATAAGATTTACAAGGATGCTTTGTAAAACATTCTCATCTTTTTCTTGAATGCTGAGGCACAAAGGTTTGAAAGGGGAGTTCGTTGTGAGTTGGAAGACCTAAATAGGAGAACACCCTCCTTCCTTTCTCCAGATTAACTTTTGGAAAGTGGACGAGGGTGTCCTGATTAGTGCCACGCCGAGCAATTGCTTCATCTGTTACAAGTCACTCAATCTGGTATTTTGCTTCTTAATGCTAGGACCCATGGACGAGACAACAAGTGTGAGCTCTGCATACAGCATTGGCTAGTAACAGACCAGCAGAATCCCAAAGAGAGATGATGTGAATGAATGAAAATGTTCTTGCTGTGCTCCCCCAAGAAGTCTGTAGACAAAACGAACTGCGGTATTTTGCATCCTATTCAGTCAGTTAATCTCCTTTCAGGTAATGCCGTTGCTATATGCAGCAAAGCAGTTATGTCAATTCTGTAACTGACACAACACTAAAGATAGATTCAACTTCAATTTTACAGCCTCTAGAAGGATCCTTTTTTTTCAACAGAGTTGGCAGGACAGAATTGGCCTAAGTTCATTCAATTTAGAAGGATGAACGTTACTTTGTTTCCTTGTTTTAGAGAAGACTCCTAAAGCTAGAAATATATTAGCTATGTTATCTATAAATAGCTAAAATTGCTTGTGGAAATTTAATTTAATTTTGCAGTAAATAATCCATTGTATTGAAATTACCTGTTGACAATGATGGTAGGTGTTGTATCAACAGGAGGGGGCGTCTCAGTGTCACTGCCCGGCTCCATGGACAATCCTTCATCTTCCGACTCAGACTCAACCACGGCCGGTGTTTGACTGGAACTTTAAAAAAATACAGTTACACTGCTAAATCTACCATGATAAAACCATAGACTAACCAACACAAGTAGACTTCTCATCCCACTGTACATTTTGAAGCCCGTTTTTCGTGTCTAGTTCATGTTGGTGACACTAATCGCTAGTGTCGACTAAATTTTGTTTCTATTATTTTAGGGTTAATTTTATGATTTGCGCTTCACTGTTTGGTTGAATGACTAGAAAACGAGTTATTGTTTATGATTATATAGTTTTATTTGGTTACAAGGTTTTAATGACTGAAATAACAAGAAACAAAGTGTAAACAATACACTACCTCTACAGTGCACCGGACGGAACTAACATTAAAATTGTCTTCAGCTGGTCCCATAAGGATGAGAAATCTACTAATCGAGTATGTTTTATCTATGATAAAGCTTTTTATTTTACTGTTTGTTCTCTTTGTAGGTCTTTGACCTACCTTACCATTGTAGACCGCTAGGCTAGTTTGTGACCATTTTATAAATTTATTTGACTATGCTTACAGGGTTGCATTATCATCCTATACAGTAGAACCCCTGATATCCGGCCTTGGTTTTTTCGGTCCTCTGTTTATCCGGCGACTTCCAGGAAGCCAATATCAAAATGTTTTTCTCAAAGCTTACAGACGTTTAGATGCAAGCACTAGTCTTTGCAACTTGTTTGAGCTAAACTATTTATCTGTTTGTTTCAATATATTTTACTGTGTCACTAAACTCAGTTGAACTAGGCCTAACCTCTAAAAAGTTGGGGGTTGGGAAATTAATCTTTGTATTTATTTCACAAAAAGGATAAGAAAGTTGAGTAGAATTGTATTTACTATTAAGGTCCTAAAAATCTTAAAAGCTGATTTAATGTAACTTTTACCTCCATCGTTTAATAGTTTTTGTTATCTGAAATCTTAATTTCAGGTTTTTTTTACAACTTTAGCCTACAAATAATTTTTTTTATTTGTACAAACATGTTAATTCTTCAAAAAATAATCCTAGAATAGACTTAAATGATACTTTTGACAGCATGTTTTGAGTAAATATTATTATAGGTATGAATCCTTTTCATTTTTGTAGTAGGTTTTTTTATCCGGCCAAATCGCTATCCGGCCAGGGGCTTGGTCCCGTGGTGGCCGGATACGAGGGGTTCTACTGTAGCGAAAAACCATTGATTGGTGATTGGTGGGATTTGAACCAAAGACTTTGGAGACTAAACGCCTAAGGTGCGCTACCACTAGACTTTACTTATTCGATGACATTTTGCTACCTTTGTCTCCTCTCTTCTAAGATGGCTTGGCGGCTCGGCTTGCGCTGTAGTGTCCGTGTGTTAATACTGCTCCCCTCCACTACATCCCTCGGCTGGCTCCCCCCTGAGTTGGTAACGGCTGATCTGTGCAATATGTATACATTAACACATTTAGGTACAAATTGGCGCATTGAATTGACTAATATTGGTGTGTGAAAATATTTAGAAAACCGTATTGAGAAAACTTTTTGCAATTTCTGGGGTCAATTTGGTTGGTATTGGAGTTGGAATTATTTCCATCAACCGTTTCATTCCTGTTTGTGTATTGGTTGTTGGTGACTACAACAACAAAAAACTTTAAAAAATCTATATAATTTGGATTATTGTAATAGGTGAATTTTACCACCTATAGAACATGCTTGGAAAACATTTCCATATCAAATTTACCGGTGGATATAGATAAGTGTGATAAACAGTACTGGGGAAAATAAAACAGTTGAAATAAATTGATTTATTTCTTCTCTTAAGTCTTTGTCTAGTGCACTGCAGTTTGATGGCGGTAAAGAGTTAGAGGACGGTTTTCTTGTTTAAATAATATATAAAAACGGTGTTTGGCAGTCAGTGCCAAAGATTTTAGGGCATTATGATGCATGCTAATTGCAACAAAAATCAACAATTTGAATGGTATTTGCCACGATTCAGCATTTGTAAAAGGGGAAGTAGTCAACTTTGAGATTTCTTCAAGCAGACATTAAAAGTGTGCAATTTGTTCACAATAGGCTTGGAAATTTTTTATCTTGGCAGCAGTATAAAAGGACAATGTGGATATTCTTTTCAACTTTGTGTGCATTACACATAACTAAGAGATAAGAACAAATTATGCTTACGTCTCCTTGTTGCTGGTCTCCTCCGGCTCTGCCTCTAGGATTGTGTTTGACAGTTTCCGAGGCAGAGAGCCGAGTCTTGCTCGACTCACTGTTCGGTTCTCCTGAAACACAGCCGGATGTTAATAAAGTCAGTCTAAGCTTGACCTAGTGATCAACTGATCATTGGGAAAATAAGATCTTGAGTTGTGGTTAGGCATTCAACCCGCGACCTGGATAAAAATAGTTCTTTCTACCCTGCCATAGCAGGAAGTTTTTCAAGTTCCTTGATTCCATGGACGATTGGGTGATGTATAGTGTGTGTGTTTATGACGAGTCCTGGATATCACTAGACAAACAAAAAGTTGTAAGAGTGAAGCCCACAAACAACTTTCATAAATGAAAAATACCTCGCCTAAAATTATGTCATTTAAAAACAATTACATTCCATCCAAAGAATTGTCTGGTCTCAGCGACAAAAGTGACAATCTCACCCATTGCTCATACTTGGCTTAAAGCCTAAAACTTGTTCAATTCGGTTTGTCAATTCAATGAGAACAAGCCGATGAACTGACCATTTGTATGCAAAAGTTTTTTTTTCAAACAGAGTGAGTCTTAGCTAGAAATTTAATAGTGTGTGAGAGAAGTGTTCAGCTGTTTGAACAATTCATAAATCTAGCGGATTTGAAAAGTTAGTAGCGGGTTTAAAATATTCATCAGCTGAGTTGTTGTTTCATTTATAATTACCAGGAGACAGAGCTTTAGCTCGGATTGAATTTAACATTGAATTTATTAAATAAGTAAATTAGCTAAATTTAAGATATTTATAATGTATGGTAATCAATGTGAACAGATGTTACAAAGAAAATATTTTAATCCACCTTTATAAATACATAGATTGCAATAAAAATAACCTGTATCAGCTGTGTTACTTTTTTTTTAATACACTGTAACTACAAAAAAGTATTGATAATAGCATGGTCACTTTCAAGGGCTGTAGGGCAGAAACTGGATTTTTCCCAGCTTTGTGACCAACTCCAATAGATTTCTTGTGGCCAAATACCCTTATGATAAACAAATAAATTAAAAATCCTTGGACGAAAATAAAAGTTTGCTCGTACACGCGCTTGTTTTGGATTAGCCTATAGGATGCAAAAATGACAAAGCGCTAGTTTACTCCTCTTGGTTGATTTTTGTTTGAAAATTGGTTGTTCTACTGGTATATCACACGGTTATAAGCAGAGGTGCCCATCCCCCCCAAACCCAGAGGCGCAACCCCCCCCCCAAGCCAAAGGAGTAGTTCTCCCCCCCAATTTATGCTGCCGTCTATTTAAACCTACCCTCCCCCCACCAATTTATCTGACAATTTTCCCTTTCCCTAATAAAACGAGCATTCCAATTTAGTATTTAGTAAACTTGAGGTAAAGAAAAACAAACTTGCTGATAATATAAATTAAATGTTTAATAGGAAACGTTAACAACATTTAACAATACTTCATTAGGTATATCTAACTAATGGACGAATTAAAAGTGTTTCTATTTACATTTCAGAATCTCTATTGTCAGCTAACATGTGCTCAGTATTGCAATAGACAACGTCTTCAAAACGTACAACAATATACTAGGTGAATTACTCTACTCCAACACAGTATTGTAACTGTACAATATATTAGGTGGCGTTAAATTTTACAGAGAAAGAATCTCAGAGAAGAATTTTAATAAATCAAACCGCTTTAAAAATGCATTAATAATACTTTAACAAAAAGTTTTTTTTCAAAATTATAGGCAGTCACGAAATAAGACAGACTTGTTGCTCGCCACTCCCTGGCTCTAGAAACACCGCCACTACAAACAACACACTCCAAAAACTTGATTTTACTCCACAAAAATCGCCAGGCAAATACCCACAAAAGGTTTTTGTGACGAAGTAATCTTATAATTAATTTTGATAGCCCCAGGATTGCCTTTTATGACTAATAATGGTAGAAACGCATCTTGTCAGACAATCTGTTTATACACAAAACGATAACAGATAGGCCTATCAATTCACGTGAGTATATTGCCGCGGGCAGGACTGGAAGTAAACTGAATCAGGTTATGACGGAAAGACGTGGTCTCTGGATTGTCGTCTGTGTTATCAAAAGCTGATATTAATAATTGGACTAGTTGTAGTGACGGAGGAGAGTGTTGAAAATATAATGGGATTTATAATTGAGTTTTCCATTTAAAATTATTGACAATAATAACCAATTTATCTGCTGGATATAAATTATGGTCTCGAAATTCTACAGTACTGCACGAAAGGAAATTTATTAAATACTTTTAGGAGTTCTAAAATACATAAAACTAGGGACAGCGCTAAATTTTTGAGTGAAAACACTCAATTAATTATGAATCCCATTATACTTTTAACACTCTTCTCAGTCACTACAATAGTCCTATATCAGCTGGTGACAATGCAGACGACAATCCAGAGACCACGTCTGTCCGTCATAACCTGAACCTGATTCAGTTTACTTCCAGTTCTGACGACGGCAATATACGTGTGAATTGATAGGCCTATCTGTAATCGATTCGTGTTTTGTGTGGTGGAGGTAAAGAACCACCAAAACATATGTAGCAAATAAAATTCGACACTGACACTGGTATATTAAGGATTGTCTGACAAGGTGCGTTTTTACCATTCTTAGAAGCAAATCTTAATTACGAATGGCAAAATGTTGTTGGTGTTGATAGTGAGCTACCTAGAAACACTTTTTCGGGCTGCTTATACAAAATTATTCATTCATTATGACAGCTAGCAAAAAACATCCCCCCCAAAATCCCCTCAAAAAAGTCCCCCCCAAAAATTCCTGTGGCGCAAACGCGCCACAGTACCCCCCCCTCTGGGCACCCCTGGTTATAAGTCATAGTTTTACGGTTGTATGATGGAAAAATTCTAGGATTCAGACTTTTTGAAACGTTTTATATAATCTTCTAAAAGACCATATAAAATGAAATATTTAGAGAGAACACGACACCGGTAAGAGAAATGATTTGTGCTGATGAGCTAGAGACAAAATCTTTAATATATATTTCCTGAAAATGTTTTAGAATTACTATATTATTTTTGTTTAGTACCACTCCAATCCTATGAGCCACCAACTGATGATTAAAAAAAGGATGATTTTCCAGAAGTTTGTAACACAGAACTAAGATGATGATTAAATTGAAGAAAGCTTACTATAGAAACTTTTTATATTATCTGAACTAAAACTTTTACAAAATTGAATTCCATTTTACAGTTTCCTACCATTCTTTAACATTTTATTTTTCTAGCCGTATTTTCTTGGAATTTAAAAATACTGTATGGTTAAAATATCTTGGAAACTTCAATTTTGCATGTTAATGGGATTTTGCTAAACAAAATTGTTCCATTTATCTGCTGTTATATTTGATTAATACTTCTTGCAATCAAAGTTTAAAACACAAACGATGCTTTTTTTAAGCAAAAGCATGTGCGATTGTTCTTTACAGCAAAAAGTGTTTTCGTGCAATGAAAGTGTGTGTTCAAAACATTAATAGTAATTCAGAAAAAATAGTTAAATCATGCAAGATGACATGGCTTACTGTTTACTTTATTTGAAAGATTATACAAAAACAATAAAAACCACATGAAAAAGCTTTTTGTGTGTTAATACTGAAAAATTTAACATAGTTGTACAAAAGCTTGAGAGAACAGCGGTGTAGCTTTTATCTCTAAAAGGTAATTTTATAATATCTAGTTATATTTTATGGTCAGCCATAGATATGCTAAGTAAGTTACTAAAATTTTCCTAAACCAATTAAATGTAGAATGAACAGCTAAGATGATAAAGATATATTACCAACCCAAATAACTGAAAAGACATTTCTAACACATCTACGCTAAATAACTACGATAAGTTTAAGATCTTTTTTTAACGTTTCCAAATTTAAATGTAGAACTGTACACTGTATAAAACGTGTACAAAAAACGTAACCCCATTGATGTATCTTCATCCTAACGCATCTCGCTGTCCAATATATCACCCATTAGTTTAATTTAATTGAATATCACAGTGGAAGCAAATTTGTACTGTAAATTTATAACAGAATGCAGTACAAATAAATTTCATGTAATTAAAACAATTTATAAAATATCACCAGTAACACTCACCTCATGGCATTGAGAGCCTCTTTTTAGCATGAAGCTTGAAAACAAAGGTGTAAATATAAGTTTGTTTTATAATAAATCTCCGATACGATATCACATGAAATGGCAGAATTTAATAATATAATTTACAGATACTGTCTAGTTTATTCGAAATCGATATAATGATGAGTATTGTATTTGCAATAACATAACATATAATTGGATTTAAAAAAAACAATATCGGTTGTTTTTTAGTTGAATTTCAAAAATATATGGCTTCGATCAGCATGAACCATAAAGTTTACTTATATTCTCTTTGAAAAAAAGTTTAGATTTTAGATATAAATATCCAAACCCATAACGTACATTTAACTACAATGCTAATTAAGCAAAAGCGACAAAAAGTTCTAAAAGCTTCATGCTTTAACAATGCATTATGTTCTCATGCTTTAAGAGAAGAGTTTGAAAAAGATCACCACCACCATTTATTTTGAAGTTTGATGGATTTGTAAATTTAGTGCATACTTAATTAGACATTTCCAACTTATAAATTTAAGAACATTCCTACAGCTAATAAGTGTATAATCAATAAAATATGTATAATATAATATATTTCCTTCAATAAATTTTTTTTGTTTGCAAGTCCAAGGAGTAGAGGAATGTGTCATCATCACACATTTATCCTACCAGAGCTAGCGACTTCTTTTAGGATATAGTTCTTCTTTGTAATGTATGTGTTTAAAGTCGTGCATCTCTTAATAATACAGAACCTGAGAAATTACCAGAAACTCTTTTCTGGATGAAATCGCACATAATGATGGTATCTCGCAAATCTGGTACTTAAACCCATTGACGACGGATTTTTTTTATTTATCTACGAGAGCTTGCCCCGTGGTCAAGAGCTCGACCAAAAGTATGTATTGTGCAAACTTGTCAATTTTCACTCCAAGCTGTAAATAAAACATGTTATTG